CGTCACAATTTGATTAAAAGGCTCAAACTTCACAACCAGTCAAAAGTTTGAAGTCAGAATGTGGTGTGTTACTGCTGTAAATGGGCGACGGCTGATTTGTGATGGAATATCTACAAAGGCCCGTTATCATCAGCCAGAGAAGGCCATAAACAGAAAAGATGAAGCCCTAATCTCTTCTTTTTATTGGCTGGTCTGAGTTATGGCGTTTTCTCTGCAGCTCTGCCCTGAAGGTCGGGTGTGTGCTAGTAGTCCACAGCACCAGATCCTCACTTTCCTGTCAGTTTCTCTCCATGGAGCAGCTTCATTTCTCAAAACAAACTATCGAGTGTCAGAAGAAAGTTCTGTGTTTCTGTTTGATCCTCTAATGCCACTTTTCCCAAAGTTGGTGTCGGGACCCAAAATTTGTCGCAGGCACGTTTTTATTGGGTCGCCAATTGACCCTTTGCAAAGCCACGCCCGAATACAAAGCTGGCCAATCACAGCGCAGTATAGGACTCGCTCTAACTGAGGTCCGACACTTTCATGGCTGCGCTGTATTTTTCTAAGATCTGGTCAAACGCCGCTCCTGAGGCATCTTGTAATAGTTACATCAGCTACCAGAGAGGCTGAAAGGAGATTTATTCTCTTTCCAAAACCTAAAACAAATCCAGAAACATGTCAGCTGTGGATGGTTCATAATGTTAGTTAGCTAACGCTGGCTAACTTCCTACTGAACGTAATAAAGCCCTGCTGTTCTGCTTTCTAATGGTTGTAATAATGAACAGAGGCCGACCAGCTGTACAGTTTGTCGGACTTAGCAACAGTAACTAAGGGGGGCGTGGCTTAGCGAAGGGTCAATTGGCAGAGTGAAATTCCTACGTGTGTGTGTGTGTGTGTGTGTGTGTGTGTGTGTGTGTGTGTATGTATATATTCTTATATCTAAGATGTGACTGAAGTGCACTTCTAAAAGCTGAGCAAAGATCAGCTGGTTCAGAAAACTTCAACCAGCCACAGCTTCTTATTAAATTCAGATCAAGTGAAGACATGTTGGTGATGATGGGAGGGGATGAGAGTAGAGAAAGGGTGCGACACAGAAAGGAGAAAAGACTATTTTTGTTTATTTTAATAAGAACATTAATACATTTTATATACATGGTTTGCTTTGCCCTTTATCTGTACTTTGTAACTTTGGTTCCCAGGGCGACACCAGATTTCTCCTTTGGGCGTTGATGTGAAAAAGTTTGGGAACCAGCTGCTGAAGCTCCAGATCCTTAACCAGTTTTATACATCTTCTTTAATCCGAGCTGCCGTGATTGTAAAAAAGGGTTTTCTAATGATCCCTTTGCCTTTTTAAAATGATAAACTTGCATTAGCAAACACGGCGTGCCGCTGGAGCACAGGGGCGATGGTTTCTGATAACGGGCCTCCACACTGTATCTCTCATCAGTCTGATGTTGTTTTAATGGACAAAACACGTGCTTTTCATTTGAAAAGTGTGTCCAAACTTTTGACTGGTAGAGTAAATACAAACTAATCTCTCATCAGGGAGTTGATGCCTCTGTTTTCTAAAAGTTAAAGGTGGTATTGTAATTATACAGCAGTAGTAGTAGACTGAGGATTATATATGATATGTACCGTGGTATTAGGGTGTTCATTAATTCCTGCTAATGAACACCTGCCAAGTCGATCCAGTGAAACGGTTCATAATTAATGCGCAGTATCACCTGAATCTGAAATGGGTAACTATAGCAACAGGGATGCAGTCAGTACGTTAACGTCTAATGACAACACTGATTGAAGTCCTTCAGTGGTCGTTAAGCATCACGTTGGCTTTCTGGCTCACAGCTGAGCGAAGTAGGAAACAGTCCTGTTGACTGGAGTAATGAGCAACGAGGAGATCAGCTGATCTGAGGAAGGTTGGGTGAATGGGAGAGACAAAGGGAGAAGCTGAAAGGCAGTGATCTGATGAAATCAGTGAAGAAGAGCAGAATGAAAAGGATAAATAATAGAAAACCAGCTGCGAGAGGACAAAAAGAGGACACGAAGAAGAAGAGAGGAGGTGACGAGAGCTGCAGCTTCAGAGGACGTGACTCTAATTAAATACATTAACACAAAATATGTGCGTGTGAGAGAGAGAGCAGAGCATGCTGGGTAAAAACACTTGGGGCAGAATGAATGTAAAATTCAGAAGCTGCAGTCAGACGAGGTGAAGACGCTCTGCTGCTTCGTCCTCACCTGTGACTGACAGGAGTCAGCTTAGCCGCCTGCTTCGGTTAGAGTAGCGGCACGTGTTTAAACTGAAGTAGACCTAAAGGGGGGGCGTCCAAACACGTGCGTTTATGTTTATTTATATTTAAAACTCATCAGGTTATTTAATATCTGTGCATATTTAAAGTGTGTAACGTGCTGGATGAAGTGCAGGTCTTATTTCTCTCTCAGAACAGGCCGATGGACTTTAAGTTAAAGATGAACTCTGTGTGTACAGAGTGCACTGAGGTCGCAGGACAGTTAGCACGTTAGCTGCGTTTGCTCTGTGTCATTCAGGTTAACAGGCTAACGCTGACATGCTAACGCTGGCATCATTCAGATCAATGCAGCTGCATTTCCTGTTCTGGAAACAAACTGAGATCAATGTGCCGCCCGAGGCTCGCACACACTCTGCGCACACACACAAACACACACACAGTACATGTACTGACGTACTTGTGAGGACCACCATTCGTTCATCTTTTGAGTTTTGGACCTACAAAGTGAAGCTTTTTAGAGAGCCCCTTCAAGGGCCGAAATGTCCTCACAATGAAGGTCTGCAGCCTGGTCCTCATAAAGGTGCAAGGACAAGAACAAGCACACAATTGTGAGGACTTTCACCAGCACAGTGAGGACACCTTCTACATGGAGGCTGTCTGACAGCTGAGACATGTCTTTGCCTGGTCCTCACAGGTCCGGGCCCCCAGCCTGGTCCTCACAGGTCCGGGCCCCCAGCCTGGTCCTCACAAAGATAAAACAACACAAACAGTCACATTTACGCTGCATCCGTCACACGAGCACAAACACACATGCAGGTGTGTGCAGAGAGGGAGGCGTGTTTGATGTTGATGAGGGGCGACCGAGCATTGAACTGCACACACAGAGAGAGAGAGAGTGTGAGGGAGAGCGAGTGTGACAGCGGTGACAGAGTCCAGTTGTGTTTGTGGCGTTGTAGTTGGCGGTTGGCGGGCGGTCGGCAGGCGTCTACCTCATCTAACTCTTCTTCTCCTGGCAGGACTGACAGACCGTCAGGAAGTGAGGAACTGAGGAAGGAAGTAGGGCCCAGGATGACGAGCACGGCCCCGACCAGGAAGCCGTACCGTAAGGCGCCACCGCAGCACCGCGAGACGCGTCACGCCCTGCCCGTCGCTCCGCCTCCGTCTGCGCCGCAGCACGATATCAGTCAGGTAAACCACCACAGCTTAAACACACCTCCACCCCCCCTGCAGCGCCTCCCCCACCGCCCAGCAGCCGCAGCCTCGAAACGCCCGCAGAGCGTCGGGTCGCGGCATGGCGTCCCTATCGCGCCGCTTCCGCTTTCTGACAGTGAGTTGGACGTCTCCAGTCTGTCCAGCCTGGAGCTCTGCATCCCGCCGCCACCGCTCTTCAGCAGCCACCGGCCCACCCGGACTAGAACATCTGCTGTGGGCGTCACCACGACTCCTCGCCGTGCGCCGCGTCACTTCATCAGTAGCGGCGATGAGAGTTTTTCAGCACATCAAAGCCCCGCCGCAGCCAGGAAACCCTCCGCCGCCCACAGCCCCAGAGGAGGGCGCCACAGGACGTCTCCCAGGACGCAGACTGCCGCCCCTCCGAAGAGCATCCTGAAGCAGCCGGCCTCGCTGAGCGTGGAGCACGCCTTCGACATCCTCAGGAAGTCAAAGTCTGTGGAGATGCTGGATGACAGCAAGAGGCGGAACAACGCTGCCCGTCAAATGCCCACTCGCTCCCTGGACCGGACGGAGCAGCGGGCGCCGCCTGAGCGGCGGTCCTCAGACCCGCCCTCCCCCTGCAGGACCGACTGGAACTGGAAGATGCAGGTTCTGGAGGAGAAGGTCCGCTTCTCCAACTTTCTGGATGAGATCACCTGTCAGGTCATGAGTCCCGCCCACCTCACGCTGCTCGGCAGGACGTCTTCCAGAGAAAGAGAGAGCCCCGCCCCAGCGGCGCCACGGCTCCGCCCACAGGAAGCAGCAGCAGGTTCCAAGTACGTCTGGACACCGGACTCGGCGCTGGGACGACTGGGTGGCGGCGATACAGCAGCCGGGCAGCCGGTACCAGCCCCAGGAGGAGGGGGCGGGGCAGGAGCATGGTGACATCACTGAGAAGGCGGGGCCTAAAGAGGAGGTGTTGGGGGTGAATAGAGGAGTAAAGATGGAGGTTCAGGAGACGTTAGAGCCTCAGAGACACAAGCAGAGACTTCCTGTTTCTAATCAGTCTCTTGTGTCCCGCATCAAGGTAGGTCAGAGGGGTCAGCCGCCGCCGCCGCGCCGCCCCCCCCCCCCCCCCCCCCCAACCCCAGAGATCCTTAAATTTATTTATTAGTTATGGAAAGTGTTTGAGACGACGCCATCATACTGATCTGCAGGATTTCACCTATTTGAACATGAAATTTAGTTTTTTTTTATTTAAGTTTTTTTAGTTTTAGGCTTTTAGTTTATCTAATATATTTAATCAGGGACCGTGTACAAAACACATTAATCTCAGAGGAGTAAACAGAAACCTAAATATTAAATATATTTCATTAGTATATCCGCAGTTACAAAAACGGGTCATCAGAATGTAAAAGGAAAGCTGACATGGCTGGTTGCTTAAAATCCATTTCTTCACAGAAGGAGATCCGTTTCCTCCTTTAATGGCTTTAAAAGGACTCTGAGCGGTGCAGCAGCAGCAAACATCATCTAAACACACGGCTGAATATAAAATGAATTTATCAGAGCTGAGCACTTAATATCTAACGAGTAAATCACCATGATAATGCAGTCGGGACTTCC